CTCCTCCTCCTCCTCCTCCCCCTCCCCCTCGAGGATCCTCTCGACCCTCTGCGGGCCCCGCCCCCGCGCCTTCGCTCGGCGGCGGGCCGCGCGGGCGCGCTCGCGGGGCTGGCCGCGCGGTGCGCGCTGGCCCTGAGCCATGCGGCGATCGATCCTCCTCTCCCTCCTCCTCGCCCTCCTCCTCCTCCGCCTCCTCCTCCTCCTCCTCTTGAGTTCCTCCTCCTTCCTCCTCCTCCTCCTCCTCCCCCTCCTCCTCTCCCTCCTTCTCCTCCTCCCGCTCCCCCCTTCGACTTCCTCCCTGCCCTCGACGAGCCCCCCCTCCGACGCTGTAAAATCGCGACGTCGGATGTCAGCAACAGCATTTTATGAAGCCCGCCGCCGTAAATGTAGATCGATGTTCGCAGCAGTATATTCCATACAGGGCCGACGCTGTATAATGCGACGTCAGCTCTGTGTCCACAGCAGTTTCCATAGAGGGCCGACGCGGGGGAGAGGGGGGATATTTTTTTTCGAAGGGGGGGGCCTGGCAATCCGACAGAAAACAAAACATATACGCGGAAACCAAGACGTATACGCGATAATCAAGACATGTACGCGAAAATCAAGACATGCGCACATCATGCCTAAAAATCAAGACTTCGCTGAAAAAACCAAGTCAAGAGGCCGTCTCACAAAAACCAAGACAACAAAATGTCAAGGTCTGCCGATCGCGCCCGCTGTCTCGCAGGAGGTCCGCCGGACAGCGACGCCGAAGCCAGAAGGGGGCGCGTCGGAGGCGTGAACGCGCCCGGCTGCGCGGTGGACAGTGGGAGGACACATCGGAGCCTCCACAGCTCCCGCCTGGCGCCAGGCCAGAGAGCAGTAACTTCCCTGTCCGCCCGCTCGATAAACGCATGCACGTCACCCAGGAAACTCAAAGCTTCTCGACGCAATAGGGCGGCCCAGGTTATGTTCCCCACCACGACCTGAAGGAGAGATCCGCTAGCGCGGCCGCGCTGGGGGATCTCTTCTATGGCGAGGCGCAGCCTCCAAAGGCCACGGCGCTTGATAGATGACCTGGCCCCCGAATTCAAGTCTAATCCCAGGAAGGCCGAGTCTGACGAGGCGGGTTCCAGCTCGTGAACCACGAGGCCCTTGCGTTCCAGGGGCGAGCGAATTCGGGAAACCGTCGAGTCCACGATAACCAGGCCCTGGCCGAAAACAACGAAGTTGTCGACATAACCAGCCACGCGGACCCCAGAGACATCGTCGAGCGGGGAGGCGGGGCTGCCGCCCACGACGAGGCGCGACCCATCGATGCCAGAGTCGCCCAGCGAATTCAGCAGTGCGGACTGGGCGATGCGCATGGCCCAGCTCCGGCCCATCGGCAGGATCGTGAGCGCAGGCTCCAGCATGGTCCCGGGGCCCACCTTCTGGCCTTCAACCTCGGTCAGCCCGGCAACTCCGGCATCGATGGGGGGGGGGGGCGGGGCAAAAAAATCCTGAAGCTCTGCCGGGAGGGCCATTCTGCAAAAGTAATTGTCTACGTCGCCCGACCCCGCGCAAAGACCTCCGCCTCAGGGGGCTCCAGGGGGCCCGGGGCCGAAGCGGTGGAAGGGCGGGTGGCAGGAGGGGTTTGATAAAGCAAGTGGCGACGCGAGAGTCGAAGACGAGCCTGAACTTTCCAATTTTTTTCGCAGCGCAGAATGCCAACTTCACTATGGCGGCCCGCAGCGAGCTTCCAGGAGGCCACCCCCCGGTCGACCAACCTCCGGACGAAGGCAGCGCGACGAGCAGGAGACGACCCCAGGAGCGGATCAACATACGGGCCGAACGGACAAGCTTCTCGAATTAAGCTATGCGCCCCGGCCTCCAAAAGCGACAGGGCGGGCACCTTCAACTGGCAAGGAAACGAAGTCCTGGGAGCACGGTCGCCTAGGTGGTCCCCAGAGAGTCGCACAAACAACTAGAGGCGCAGAGCTCGCTGAGGGCTTCCGCGCCGGAGGGGAGATCGGCCGGCTGGGGCCCCGCGGCGTGGAACTGCTCAGCAACGTGCTGAAGGGCGAGCTTCTGGCGCAGGTTAGGATTCGCAGAGCGGCCACCAGGGGCCAAGCCGTAAGCACTGCTGAGGGAAGCAATGGCGTCGCTGGCCCAATCAGTCGAGAACCTGGCCTGGCGGCGGCGCCGGGTGACGCTTCTACTCGCCTGCGAGGAGCTGGCAGCGCGGGCAGAACGGGATGGGGAGGAAGGGGAGAGGAAAGATACCTCTGGCACGGGCAGAGGCAGCCTCATCACTGAACGTTCCCGGGCGCGAGGCAGAGCACGGAGAGGGCGGAAAGTTAATGTTGCCTGGCGCCGGGGCCCTTGAACCAGCGCCAAGGATCTCCATCATCCCTGCTCCTTGTCTTCTTTTCTGTTTCTCTTGTCCTTATTGTTGCGGTTGCGATTGGCAGTCCGCTCTTCACGCGCCTTGCGGCGCTCTTTCATAACCGAAACCTCCTTGGCTAGTTCTTGCGCAACCCAGTCCTGAAGGTCAGGTGAGACGCGCGCGATCCCTCGGACGAGGTCGGAGCCGAGGAGGAGATACGAGTCGACCGCCTCCTCTGGCCCTGCGAGGCGGTCCCGGTGGCGCTCCTCTTGCACTCGAAGAGACCGCCCAAGCATCTCGAACGAGGCTATCTCCGTGATGCTGATCTGATCATAGCAGGCGGCCGTTCCCGAAAGCCATGCACACGCGAAGATGTTCCTCCACGCCTGCCTCGGAGCCGTTCAACATGGCCTCCGCCTTCAAGCGGTTGGAGCGGGCGACGGGTGAGCCCCCGTTGGCGACGATGAACTTGCATGCCAATAAGAGGGTCCGTGGACCGCGTACCGGCCATTCGTGGAAAGGGGTGGCCGTCATCATGCACACAGCGAGCCGAAACTCACGGAAGCGCACCCCTTGCATGTCCTGGCCGATCGGGTGGATCCTCCAGTCGACGGCGGCAGCTCCTGCGCCAGGCGCTGGGCCTGCCATCGGCCCGGGGGCGGCGGCCGCGCCCGCGGCAGCCGCAGGCATGAAGGCGACGGGGGGCGGGCCGGCGGCTGCGGCGGCAGGCGCTGCGGCCGCGGGGCTCCCCGCGGCGGGCACCAGCACTCCCGCGGGGCCCACGACCGCCGCGGCGGCCGGCGCGGCAACCGCGGCTGGCGCGCCCAGGGCGCCAGGAGGCCCCCCGGGCCCCCCGATGGCTGCCGCGAGGGCGGCCAGCCCTCCCGCAGCCGCGGGCGGCGCCGCAGGCCCAGCGACAGGCGGCTGGAAGACCACCACCCGCTCGTGCCACACGACGGGCTCGGGGATGTTGTACCGGACAACGAAGGAGTCGCCCTCATCCAGCTTGCCCTCTGCCACCGCGATGCCAACGCCAGCAGCCGGCGGCCTGCCTCCTGTGCTCATGATGTCAGTTGGGTTGCTGGTGTCCTCCTCGTAGTCGTCGTCGTCGGGGGTCAGGTTGGTGTAGACCCCCAGACCGGCCGCAGCTGCGGCCATGTCTACAACGTCGGATCAGCGGCCAGCGCCCGCTTCTTCAACGCGAGCGCCTCGAACTGCTGGCGGGCCTGGTTGGCGATGGGGTCATGCACCGAAGCCGCAGTCCCCGCAAGAGAGGGAGACGGTGCGGCTGCAGCAGGGCCCCACCGGGCCCCTGCAAGGGGCTGACGTCCGAAGATGAAGTCCACCACGAGCAGCACGAACCACCTGAGCCAGCCGCCGAGCGTGAAACCCACGGCATCCTGCTTGATCACGTCGCCGCAGTTCACGGCCGGGCAGGACGGGCAGTCACAGTTGACCACGGGCCTGCAGTCGGGGCAGTTGGCGCGGCTGGCCCAGGACACGAGCACGGCCGAGGAGGCGGATGTAAACGAGTTTAGGACTCCCTCGAAGAGATCCTTCGAACCCCAAAACAAGGGCATGGGGGCGGAGAGCTTGAGCCAGAACCCAAGTACGGCACACTCGTCAGCTGGCTGTTGCTTAATCTTTGAAAAGAGGACATACGTACATATATAGAGAGAGAGAGAGATATACAGATATATACACACACGTATGAGGATCTCCACGTCGAACACTGTGACACCCCTGCTGCATGCAAGACGAGGAGCAGCAGGGGTCCTCGAGCATCAAGACCACGACGAAGAACATCAGGGACCCGCTGCCGCTGAGGAATGCCGCAGCCCCACACATCGCGAGCACACCCGCGTCCTCCACCCGTGCGCCGCGTGTCCGGCGCACCGACGGAGGAGGGGTGTTGGAGGAAGGGGCGGCGGCGAGATCATCAGAAACGCAAGCCAGAATGTGCCCTAAGCGAGAACTGCTCGAGCTCCTCGGGTCAGCGAAGTAAGGGTGTTTCGCAGGTGTGGGTGGTCGTAAATCTCTCGGCGCTCAGACCGGATGTACAGTGGAGGCCAGTCCACAAGAAACCTTCCACAAGAAACCCAACTCTGAGACCCCAGGGCGTCCACTGATTTTTGGTGTGGGAACGTCATGCCTTCCAAAGCAAAACCATCGAAACCCAAGAAACCCAGGGCACCCTGGAGGCAAGCAGGGCGTTTCTTGTCATAGGCCCCCAATGTATCCCTGAGGCCAGGAAGCGCGCAATCACGAAAAAGTCAGGGAGGGATTCTAGAGGGAGGGCCAGCAGGCAGCCGCGTGTGCCACCCGAGGATGGGAACACGTGCTAAAACAATATCATGCCCGGGCAGGCCTTACCCTGTTTTTTTTTGGGGGGGGAAGTGAAGGGGGAAGAGGGAGAGGCGTAGGCTCACCCGAAGAAGGGGCAGAGGCGGGCCAGCAAGCAGGGGCAGGGGGCGAGAGCGGCATCCCTCCCTTCCCAAAAGCACCACACATCAGCGCATCACCGAGCTAGGCTTGCGAAGCGTGAGCAAGGGTAGGAGGAGGAGGAGGAGGAGGAGGAGGAGGAAGAGGAGCAGGAGGAGGAGGAGAAGGAGGAGAAGGAGGACCACAATAAACCGAAGCTGCAAAAGCGATGCTGCGAAATACCTGTCCGTCCCACGTCCCCTTCTCTTGCGCCCGTTCAAATTTTTGTTCCTAGCAAGAAACGCCCCCCCACCCCCCCTTGAGAGACCAGCAAATTTGGGCCTGCCATTTTGGCGAGGGCCCCGCTTTGAAGACGTAACGCCTTGCATCTTAGCGGGACGCAATGAAGAACGCGAAAGATAATTGTCAAACAAGTCAGAGAGGTGCCCAGCGAGATCCCCATTTCGAACAATTACCGCCACCAGAAGTGCAACAATATCGCAACTCCGCGACCGGTGTCATCAAATCAAAAAGAACTGCCTCAAACTACAACTCCACGCTGAAAAAAAACCTGCCATGGATCCGTGCAGTGGTACGTGCGTTGACGCTTCGGGTTTTTACACGCAGCGAAAGCTCAGGCGAGAACTCAATGGCGAAAACAAGAAAATCCCCGATCCGAGTAAGCGCTGCATTAAAGAACGGCTGCGCGCAGCGCTCAGGCGAAAGCCCTATGATGAAGAAGGCCAATGCTCAATCCTTGAAGCGGATGCAAGATTTTGACCTGAATGCCCGCGGCGGAAAAAAAAACAGCATCCCCACTTTGAGCAGGAACGACCCTCCATCCACAAATTTATTGCGAATTGATAAAGCGCATTTGCGCGGCGGCAGGGCGAGACCACAAGCTTGGACGTCACCCCCCTTCCATCCCTGAAGCACTGCAAACTGTTACGGCAAATTCGAGCGGCGCTACGAAGAGAACAACCTTTTGAAAACGTCCCCTTCCATCAGTGAAAGAGCAGCGAACGTTTAAGACGAATGTGCGCGGCGCGAAAGGGAAACCACATTGTAAACATCACTCCCCCTTCCATCCGTGAGACGGTTGCATGTGCGCGGCGCTAAGGCGAGAGCCACATGTTGAAACAATATACCTTCCATTCGTGAGGTTGGTGCGAACTTTTCCAGAGAATGCGTGCGGTGGTGAAGCGATAACCACCTGACCCCCACGCTTGTCCCTCGTCCCCCAACCCCCCTCCCCCCTCTTCTCCACCCCTCCGTCTTCATCCTTCCTCGACGCATTCCCCCCCATCCCGCTTATTCTTCCCGCCCTCTCTTCCCAACTGTTGCTCACGTCCTACGAATCCCCAGTCATTCCCTCCCTTCCTTCTGCTGCTCCTCCTCATCCTCCTCCTCCTCAACTTCCTCTTGCTCCTCCGCATCCTCACAATCACCTTCATCATCCCCCTATTTTCAACCTCCTCATCGTGGGTGGGCCGCTTGTGGCCATCGAAACGAACTCCTCCCATCTACTCTCCACCCCCCCTCCTCTCACCCGCCTTCCTACTTCTCCCCCGTATCTGTCCTCACTCCTTCACCCCTGATTATCCCTTCGCTGTCTCCCCCCCTCCTTCCTCCCCATCCATCCTCCTCTCCAACCCC